GGCCCATCTCAGCAAGACGCTGCACGATCGGAACGTCCCACAGCAAAAGGTTTTCACCTCCGCCGGCATGGGGTTTAAAACCAAGCCTTTGGCAGGGGATGTCAGACTGCAGTTGAGGGACTTATTGTCCTTCTAACAACCACGTTTTGATTCTGAAACCGTTGTCTTCAGGAGCGGGGAAGCTGGACTTTAAAACTACTGAGTGTTCTCATTGTAAAATGGAGGGAGGGAGGCAGAGCGTTTGGGTTTCTTGGCTCTTAAGTGCATCTCTCCATTTAATCCAGTTTTATCTTGTGCTGTTCCCGAAAAATAATTGCTGAAATTGCAGTTGGAGAGACGGAGAACCCCTGTCCCCGTCTCTCGGCCTGTCTGCAGCGAAAACAATAGTCAGGGTTGCTTGTGCGTTCAAAGCTGTCATTTCATTGTGTCATTTCCCCCAGGTATGTGACGAGCCCCACCCTTTGCTGGTGAAAGAAATGATCGGCCACTGCGTCAGCGCAAATATCAACGAAGCTTACAAGGTGGGTAACGGACAGGCGGGGGGCAAAGCAGCCGTGACAAAGGTCACGGGAAAAGTTAGTTTGCGTGTGCTGTTTCAGTTAGGATTGGGACCACCCAGGGAGAAGGGGGTTTACCTGTTCAGTTCTGCCATAGTAAAGTCGCCCTGTTGCTTTGGGACATTTGCAGCTCCCTGGCTACTACTGGTGTGAGGTCTATTCGTATTGACAGTTTTACGCTGCTCATATATTCTCTGGACTCCTTTTTGCGGTGCCTTGTTTTTTATAGCGATAACTTATTTTAACTGTAAGCGGCCTTGAGCAGGACTGTGAAGCGGTATCATAGACATCTCCTAAATAGGCAGGGCTCTTGTGACTGCCACAGTAGATGGGGCTACCCCACTGCAGCCCCTAAGACAACTGTGCTTTAAAAAAAACAAAAAAAACCCAGTTGCATGTGACCATTGTTCCTGTTCACAGATCCTTGCCCACTTATGGAGACTCGGCTACTCACCCGAAGACATAATTGGCAACATTTTCAGAGTGTGTAAAACCTTCCAAATGGCAGAATACCTGAAGCTGGAGTTTATCAAGGTTTGTTTATTTATTTCTATTTTTCCTGTTTCCAGCCCGCCCTTCCCACGAGCAGGCTCAACGACGTTTCAGCAATTCAATAAATAGAAGATTTAAAACACAGTACTAGACATTAAAATGGTGGTCACTGTGAGAGATTCCCTAGCCCGTTAATGATGGGCGACAAGGACCTCGAGGAGGCCATACATAGATGCCCGCTGGCTCTGCCAAAGGCCTGGCGGAAGAGCTCCATCTTACGGGCCCCATGGAATCGAAGAAGATCCCACAGGCCCCTGATCTCAATGGGGAGCCTGTTCTGCCAGGCAGGGGTAAGACGGACATCTTCTGGGCCATGGACCAGCAGGAGGTATTGGTCCGTAGAGTGTAAAGCTCTTCGTGGTGTACACAGGAAGAGGTGGTCCCTCAGGTTGGTCCTAGACCGTATAAGGCTTTGAAGTGAGTGCGGAACTCAACAGGTAGCGAGTGCAATTGGTGGAGCAGAGATCACAGTTGCAATACAAGCAAGGATGATTGCCCTTTTTGGACAGGCATGCATGCTTGAGGTCTTTTAGCATTATCTGGAAGCAGCAGTACCCAAATCTTGCACAACACATGATGTGCATGTATGTGTGAACCCAGCCCAGGGCCCCCCTCCACAGCAAGCCTCTCTCTGCTCTGTACATGAAAAATGGGGTCAAGAAAATTCAGGAGCAGAAACGTGTGTTGACCGCCCTAAAAGAAAATGATAGTTATGCACAGAGGCAATCTGAACTCCACCTGAATTTTATGCAGATTACATGAATTTGAGGGACTTTTGCATAACGTCACCTGTACAATTTAGAGGGGGGGAAGGAGTAAAAACCCACAAGTCGCTAAAGGGTGGTTGTTACCCCCTCACATCCTGAATTTCCTTCAAGTAAAAAAATTACTTTTAAAAACAAGTTGAGGCTCTCAGGAAGTTTAATTCCGCTTACAGTGCCACATTCTGTACTTCACTGTGATTCCACAGAAATGTGACTAGCCAGCCCTTTCCAGCTTCGGGCACCGCTCCTCGCACTTTTCAAACCTGTAATTGTGATCATGAGGTCTAGAGCTTAAAATCGTACCTTGCTATGTCTGTCTCCCAGCCACCCTTCTTAATAGCTCCAGTGGGGGTAGAAACTTTGGTGTTCTGCTCTGGGGAAAGGGGCATCACTCTGACTTACACCCCAGTAGTACTTCCGCTGTACCCTTTTATTCCAGTCCCTCCCCCAGCTGGACCGGGCTATGCGGTTGTCCCTCCTCCGCATGCAAATGTGTGCTTGATTTGAAATTTGAAGTCAAGGCTGAGTCACACCCTTTCCCCCCTTATCTATGTTGCAGAGTTCCGTTAGGCAATTCGTCCCCTGTTGCAGAAAAGATGAACCCAGCAGGTTTCTTAACAGCTGTCTTTCTATGGCTAGGAAATCGGCTATACTCACATGAGGATAGCGGAAGGGGTGAACTCGCTGTTGCAGATGGCGGGCCTGCTAGCCCGTCTCTGTCAGAAGACTGCTGCTCCTACAGCAAGCTGAAGGAGGACGGATCCGGCCCGTGAGGCCTCCTTACTTCTGCGAGGAGAGAACCATGCAAAGCAGATATGCAGACTGCCTACTAAACGCCTCTCCTTAGGCCAAGTGGTTCCGGCTAGAAGCATCCCCTGCGTTGCGTTGTTTCAGCAGATTCCTTATTTTGTAACTCTTCAGATTAAATATACTTGTGATACAAAAGCTGCAGAACTCTTCCTGTCCGTGCTTCAAGGAGGGAAAAGGTTGGTCCAATGGCAGGTTTGGTGATGCTTTTTAAAGCTTTAAAACCAAGCACTGGGCTTTGTAACACCAGGCAAGCTGCTCAATAGTGCCTCTTCAAGTCCTGGCCTGGATAGCCCAGGCAAGCCCAACTTGGGCAAGTACTTGGATGGGAGGCAGAGGCAAGCTATCAAGACACTTCTCTGAATGTCCTCCGTAGGAGTTGCCAGAGGTCGCCATGACTTCCAGGCACGGGCACACACATGCACACAAAAATGCAAAAAAAAAAAAAATGTCTCTTCAAAAGGAGCACCTGTGGCTTCCTAACCTTGATCCCTAATTTGGGGAGGGTATTAATACAGCTTTGGGAATGTGACGAGCTTGATGAATGTCAGTCCAAGGAGCTCTTCACAGGCTGCAGCTTAGGGGCCAAGCCCCTGCTTTGCTGGAATTGAACCTGTGAACTTCCACATGCATCTCCAGGTAAAGGGTCTCTGGGTAGCAGAGAAATACTTCTCTCTCTGCTGCCAGTCAGGGTGGATGATTGGGAGGGAGAGGGACCACAGCAGTTGCTTTGGAGAATATCCTGGCTCCTTCGGGCAAGGGATCTCAGGTCACAGGTGCTGGGAAAACTCAAAGAGCACAGGCTTAACAGACTGGGAATGGCTTAATAAATCTGAGAGGCAGTTTGGTGTTGTGGTTAAGAGCAGCCGACTCTAATCTGGGAGAACCGGGTTTGATTCCCCTCTCCTCCACATGCAACCAGCTGGGTGGCCTTGGGTCAGTCACCAGTTTTTTCAGAGCTGTTCTCTCATGAGCAGTTCCCGAGAGAGCTCTCTCAGCCCCACCTACCTCACAGGGTGTCTGTTGTCGGGAGAGGAAGGGAAGGTGATTGTGAGCCGCTCTGAGACTCCTTCAGATAGTGAAGGGCAGGGTATAAATCCAATCTCTCCTTCTTTTGAGTATGTTCCACTTTGGTAAATTTGACAGACACAGACGTGGGGAAATAAATGTCATGCTAAACAGCCTAGCCCTCTGTTCCCCTGTCAAGAGGGAGTCGCTGAACATACCACAGTAACTACAATTAATTTACTGGCTATAAGGGAAAAAATGCAGTAGAGCGTTAAGCAGTTCAGTGCACTTAAGAGAAGAGACAGCCCTGCTGCACACGTTTCTACCTGCAGAAAGGTGAGGATTTTTGGTGAGGAGTGGGAAGCCTCCAAAGTAGCAGCCACTGGAAAAAGACCTTTTCATCTTCCTGAGCTGCTGCCCATCACCGCAGGCAATCCTTCTGAGCTAGATAGACCCACAGTCAGGCCTAGGTTATAAGCAGGGCTATTTTGGGGCAGGAACGCACAGGAACGGAGTTCCGGCTGGCTCCTGAGTTAGCCACGCCCAGTAGGAACTCATTAGCATAATAGGCCACACCCAAGAGCAGGAACTCATTAGGATTGGCTACATTAGGGGTGTGTGGCCTAACATGCAAAGGAGTTCCTGCTCCAAAAAAAGGCCCTGGGTTTTGACAACAAACAAGGTAAACAGAATAAGAAGCAAAAGGTGGGTGTGGCTGGATGACCACACTTCTGGTAACATGGGGGTGTGGCCTAATATGCTAATGAGTTTCTGCTGTTAGGTGTGGCCTATTACGCTAATGAGTTCCTGCTGGGCTTTTTCTACAAAAACTGCCCTGGTTATAAGATAGCTTCATATTCATCCCTTCAGCATAGCCGTTACAGCAAATAACTCCTCTCCTCTCGTGCAAATATCAAAGTGTATCTTTGGGCATTCAAAACTGCCAAAGGCCTGCAAGGTTTGGGAACAAGCCCTCCCTTTGGAGTGCGGGGCAGGGGAGGGCAACTTTCCCCCCTTTGTTTTATGGCAATCGAGGACCTTTCAAAACGAACATTTGAAAACTTCAAAATGTGAAGATTCGGCACCTTGCGTAGCCGTGAAAGCTCTTTACTGATACAAAAAACCCCATTTCAGTAACTATTTCACAACGTGGAGGACTCCCATGTTATTCCATCCCCATCTACATCTGGCGTTCTTAAATACCTGCATCCATTTCACTTTTGAAGTCTGCAGAACTTGCGCAGAGTTCATAAACCACCACCTGGCTACGTTTAAAGTATAAACTGCCCAGATGTCCCCCCCCCGCCCCCCGTTCTGGTTGATTTTGGAGTGGAGTCCTGCTCTTGAGGTCAGAGTATCTCCTCAGAGTTGCCGGTCAGTGTGAAAGAGGCGGCAGAAGACAAAGAAATCCTGAACGGCATCAATAGTCTCATCGGGGAAGATCGATGAGATCCTGGCGGCTGTTGAGTCATTCTTTCCCAATTCTTAAGCAGGAAACCTGGGCAAGGAAAAAAAGTTTGCCATGCTTGACCTCTATAGTGTTTTCAAGGGCTTTGTGCATCTTATGTCAGAATCCTCACAACAGCACTGTAAAGCAAACCAGCTTTATTGCAGGGCCTGATGAACAGCTGCTTGCCTAAGCCCACCTACTGCGTCTGTGGCAGAGCCAGAATTTAAACCAGGCACTTTCTGGATCACAGACAGCTCCTCCTCTGAGCCATCGTATCATCCCAGAGCAACAGAAGAGATGGTCCTTCAATTATTCCATCCCATTTTGGAACTGGAGCATTGACTGGTTTTGTGGCTGTCATTTTGGCTTTTATTGAGTATCATACTGTAGAGGAAAAGCAGAATTTTAAAAACAGGGGAAAAATATAATTATTTTGAGCTAAAGAAAACAATTCCCAGAGAGCTGCATGAAGCCGGCACTAGCAGGCTATTCTGAAGTGTTCAATAGGCCAAATCGCTCCATATTGATATCCCTGGTGAGGTTTCCCCCACCACATTCTTGCTGTTGCTTCTAGCTAACTTGTCAGAGATTGGGGGGGTGGGAGGACAGCTCAGGGATTTTAATATGGCTGGGGGGGGGGGGAAATATGCAACACAGGGATTGTTTTTAGTTTGTCCAGCAAGGATGGATGGATAGATAGATGATAGAAGACAGAGATAGACAGATGACAGACATTGAGACAAATAGATATAAGTAAAATTAACAAACCATTAAAAACCCAGAGCGAGCATAAAAACCCAACACAAATCATTTAGCTGCCTTGTAAAGCAGGCAAGAAGTAGACCATATAAACAGCCGAAATAGATCGAAACCTTTAGGTGACAGCCTGGTGCCTGAGAAAATAATATTAACAAGTAGGCTAGGTGCCAGGTGAGCCTCAGAGGGGACCACAGAACACAAATGAGGGGCCACCACTGAAAAAGCCTTGCCCCAGTCTGCTGGCATGAGCACGGACAGCAGGGCTTATCAAGAGGTTATTAACCAGTGAGTCGGCCAGTAACAGGGATGGAATCACTCACAAAGAAGGAGAATTGCTATGATACTTGAGCCTGTGAAGGAGACGGCCCAGAATGTTAAATGAAACAGATCCACACAAGCTCCAACGCAGTGTGATGGGGGGAGACATGCATAAGAACACATACCCGCTTTTTGGCACGCAGCCAGGCCCGGCATTGACATAATCCGGCTCATCATCATCACTGGAGCTTCCTAGAGGGAAATCAAAGGAGTTCAGACCCAAGGAGAGAGGGCACAGTGCACTTCCCAGGGCTGGACCCAGTGATTTCGGTGCCTAGCATGGGGAATCCAAGCAGTCCCTCCCACACTGATCAGCACAGTGGAATAACCTAGGTTGCCAGGTCTGGGTTGGAAAATACCTGGATCCAGGAGAGGGCGGGGTTTGGGGAGGGGAGGGGCAGCATGGTCCAATGCCATGGAGTCCACCCTTCAAAGCAGCCATTTTCTCCAGGGGAGCTGATCTCTGTCAACTGGAGATCAGGTGTAAAGGCGGGAGATCCCCAGGCCCCGCCTGGAGACTGGCAACCCTAGAATAGCCACAGGTGTGTTATCCTGCCCGAATTCCTCCCTTTTTCACAGTGAGTCTGCTGATCCAGCCACCATTCATCTGCAGAGAATATTCTGGAAGGTCATGCACCCTGGGGGGCTCGGGTTCTCCTCTTAAACAGCCATCTCAGGGGTGAAAGGGTCAGTTCCATTTCCTGCAATTTCCCCTGCCGCATTTTGTCCTTTTCTCTTGGACACACTCTTCTCATTGGTGCAAGGTCACGGAGCATTTCAAACGCAGGCCGTGCACCAGCAAGAACAGCGCGGTGTGCAATGCATCCACGGCCGCTCTGGTCAGCACAACAGAAAAGCCCAGGCCTTACCTGACTCAGGCGGGGTTTGCCATAACTTGACAGCGGCACTGTTTTCATAGACAGCCATCTCTGGGAAGCCTAAAGAAGCAGAATAAAATGTCAAGTAAAACCAGTCCCTCACACGGCAATACACCTTCTTCCCAAACGTTTCCTTCCTCTCCAGTTTATCACTTATTTTTCTTCCTGTGTTAAATTTCAATCAGTAGTTAAGATTTATACAATTTTGCTGGTTGTAAATAATACTAGAACTCTGAATCACTCAATGAAGTTGAAGGGCAGGAAATTCGGGACGGGCAAAAAGGAAAGCCGCCTTCATGCTACGCCTACTGAATTTATGGGCCACGCAAGGCCCCTGGCTTTCAAGCACAAATTCATGGACAGGTGGGCTAACAGTGGCTATTGGCTACAATCAGTAAATAGAACCTTCATGTTCAGGATCATTGGCAGACGCAGGACGCGGGGCTAAATGGAACTTCCACCTGATCTAGCAGGGCTCTTCTTAGGTCCTTACAAGCCCTGTGCAGCTCCTAGCCGCCGGGCTGCCAGGCTTCTCCCCTCCCCCCCCCCCCCCCCCCCGCCGACAGCAACAATGTCCATGGCTCCCAGCACCAACCCTCCAAGGCTTCTCCCCCCCCCACCGCTGCCAGCAGCAACGGCGGAAAGCCCTGCATGGCACCTAGCCATGGGGCTGGCCAGGCTCCCCCTCAGCAGCAATGGCCGCAGTTCCCAGCCACCGGCCCGCCAATGCTTCTCCCCCCGCGCCGCTGCTGCCACCAACAGCAGCAATGGCAGCAACCCCTGCACAGCTCTGCCACAGTTCCTAGTGGTGAGTGCATCCTCTGCGCATGCGCAGGGAACACTCCTTTACTTTTGGAGGGATTTAAGTATCCCCCCCTATAGTTTTTTTTATAGATTTCAGATTTTTCTGCACACCTGGGGATTGCCCTAAATGTGCAGGAAAATTTCTTTGCCCCCTAGGTGTCCCCAATGTGCAGATTCAGATATCCATACACAGCCTTTGCTATTAGATATATAGATTAGCTGTGTTAGGAAGGAAAACTTCACATACTAATATAGACCCTCCCCTTACAGGGTTGCTGTAAGGGTTACAAAATAATGCATGTGAAGAGCAGAATATAAATGCTAAAACCTTCCCCTCTGACGGCTCACACCACTCTGGATTTAGGATCCCTTGAGAAGGCCCAGAGTACACTCCCAAGACCTTCTGACCTCCCTTTTGGCCGAATAATAGGCGTGAGGACCAGGCAGAGTGAACAATGAAAATAGTTTATTTTATAGATCAAACAACAAGGTGCAGAATTATAACAGTAACTGGGTGAAAAGAAATCAAATGCCCTAACGCGTCAAAATATATACTGTCCCTAGCCCACTATTCCAAGTGGCACTGGACTACTCACCCTTCCCTCAGGAGGAGGGCCTCTTCCCCGCGGCAGCCTCTCCTGGCCCTGTTCCCTGGGAAGAACAGCTTTTCCTGCTGCTCCGGATCTTTTATTCCAAGCCCTCCTCTTTTCCTATTGGTCAATTTGGGCTCCAAAACCTCTCAGGGGCTTCTGGGACTTGTAGGCCCAGCCTCACCTACTGCTAGCCAGGCTCCCTGAGCCAAGTAGGCCTCTGGTGGCACAGCCCAGTTCATGACAGACCCAGTTCAGGTTTAGAAAGCAAAAGATCAGCTATGGATGAAGTCCAGGGCAGTTTGCCAATCAGTCCAGTAAAACACAACTTATCAGAGGTGTCAAACATAAGGCCCGGGGGGCGGAACTGGCCCATCCAGGGCTCTTATGCAGCCCGCGAGCAACTAGTGCAAGGGAGGGGACTGTTTGGGGAGAGTGGGCAGAGATACTCTGATTGTGGCTTCAGCATGGCAGAACAACCTCATCTGCAGCAGTCAAGCATCATGGGAATATTTGCCTAGTGCAGCGCTGCTGCCTCTTCAGACTTCCTATGTGGGTTTTCCTGTGCACCCCCCACCCAGCCCATGGGGCCGTGCAGTGAGGATACACCAATTCCGAACTTACCAGCTGCTGTCCTTTATACAGTTTATATCTTTGGTATCTGGCATTACGTTTTATGGCACACATGGCCCGGCCTGACAAAGTGACATTTATGTCAGATCCAGCCCTTGTAACAAATGAGTTCGGCACCTCTGACTTACATGAATATAAGATGCTTCCTGCTCCCAAGTTTATCCCAAATCTATTTAGGTCCGTATTCATTTGTTCCAACTGGCAGAGGCTCTGCCAAGGTTTTAGCCCAGAAAAATCCCCAACTATCAGTTTCAACTGGAGATATTGGGGACTGGACCTGGGACCGTTCTATAGGGAAAATCACTGTTCTCCTTTTTGAGTCCTCTCCACTACACCAGTTCAAAAACTGGTTCATTACCACTGGTGATCAAAAAGCAAGTGGATCCAACTGCCTCTCACAAAATACGTCTGCAATTACATAGAGCCTGGACAAGCTCAGGACATGTCTGCATCATTGTAGACATATATAAAAGAAAATGTAGAAACCATTCTAGACGATCTTTTTAATATTACTTTGCAATGCTTTAAATGGGTGAGGCAGAAAATCTCCTATCCGACAGAACTTACCGCACCCGGTGCTCTTCGACGGCCCAACAACATTTTGATAAGACTGTGAAGAGTCCTCTGAAAGAAAGGAAAAGGTAAAATTCACCATGGAACAAAAACAGGGAGAAAAAATCTGAGTTTGACCTGATTGCTTGAGGACAGCTGATTAACTCTGGTTCAGGAGCAAAAAAAGAGGAGAGACCTCTCTGTAAGAAGCCACAAAAGGTACTGCAGAGGACACAGAAAAAGGCAAAGTAAGAAAGCAATTATCCTTAACTGTGTAAGAACAGGTTGTTATTATATACAGTGCAAACAGCTCCAGTATACTTTATCGGGATTGCAATGTATTTGTTATTGGAACATGCTGAAATCGCGACACTTCACTGGGATTGTTTGCACCACATGTAGCAATTGTCTGCACTGTGTATAACCACTTGTTTTTACGCAGGTAAGGATAATTGCTTTCCCCCCCCTTTTTGTGTAGCCTCTGATACTCAGTACCTTCTGTAACTTTGGTTCAGAACACTGGAATAGAGGATCAGACCCAAAAGTCCATCTACCACAGCCTCCCATTTCCCAGCCAGATGACTCCGTGAGCTCCTTTGGAGGAATGCCAAGATAAAATTGGAGAGACGGACAAAGAAGAGAGAAGAGGGGTTGGTTTTCATACCCCGCCCTTCACTACCCGAAAGAGTCTCAGAGCGGCTTACGATCTCCTTTCCCTTCTCCTCCCCACGGCTGACACCCTGCGAGGTAGGTGGGGCTGAGAGAGCTCTTTTGAGGACTGCTCCCGAGAGAACAGCTCTGAGAGAACTTGTGATTGACCCAAGGTCACACCAGGAGCTGCATGTGAAGGAGTGGGGAATCAGACCTGGTTCTCCCAGGTTAGAGCCTTTGCTCCTAACCACCACAACACCAAGCCTGCTCTCACTGCACCAAACCGAAGGGCAGCAGGTTCCCCCAGGGACTGCTTTGCAGAGGTTCACTACCTATAAGCATGGGGGAAGCAGCTGACCTTTGGCAGAAGGCGCTTGGTTAACTCCATCAGGTTGGACCCAGCGTCCCCGTTCCACTAATGGCAGTGCTTTTCTCAGACACAAGGAGTGGATGTAGAGGAAAGCGTTGCTGTTAGTGGAACAGGTCTGTCCCTTTCCTCTCTTGAGGCAGTGGTGGCGGAGAGTGCTGTCAAGTCGCAACTGACTTACGGGAACCCCGCCGGGTTTTCAAGGCAAGAGACAAGCAGACGTGGTTTGCCCCTGTCTGCCCCCACGTAGCAGCCCTGGACTTCCTTGGTGGTCTTCCAGGGCTGCCAGGTCCCCTGGCTGCTCTGGGGAGGGGATTCGGGGGCATTTCGGGGGTGGGGGGGGACGGTGCATGGGGACGCTCTGGTATTTAGATGAAACTCTATGGTTTTTTTCCACCTTCAAACCACAGAGTTTGCCCAAATACCAGAGTGTGGGAATTAGAGACTCCCATAAGGCAAGCCCAGGAGATCTCAAATTCTCACCAGGAGATTGGCTTGGCAGATGCACAAGGTCTTCTGATTCTGCATGAGTCTGCTGAATTACTGAGAGCACAAACTTTGCAACATTCGAGCAAGAGAGGAGAGTTTTAGCGTAAAGAACATTCTGTTCATAGTGTGATTCTAGTTAAAGGCTTCTTCATGTAACCGTTTTCACTGTCCCATGTGTGAGCCTGCTTGATTCTGAATAAAGCACTGCTGACAGGCAGTCAGAGAGACAGTTTGGTACAGAGAGACAGAACTGACAGAGAGCCTGGTCAGTAAGCTTCAAGAAACCTGTTGTGGTGTGTCGTTATTGAACCCTCAAAAGTCAACACCAGAGCGTCCCTGTGCAATGCCCCCGACACAATGATGTCACTTCCGGGTGACGCCATTGCGTCAGGGATGTCACACGGCAACATCCTTGTTTAGGGGCAGGGTTTCCCCTGCCAGCCAGCTGGTCGACAGTGGGGAGAAGCCCCTGAAACCGGGCGTCCCCCTGCCCGGACCTGGGGGCTGACAAGCCTAGTGGTCTCCCTTCCAAGTACTAAAACCAGCCACTCCCCTCAGCCTCCCCCCTTGGCTTACTTCCGTACTTCTCTCTGCATTACAAAACCAAGTCACCTGTGGGGGCCCCCCCCATCTTGGTAAGCATTAGCTGACCTCTTAATGCAGGTTAGTTAAATTGTTTTAAGTGTTTAAGTTTGGTGTAGTGATTAAGTGCTCGGACTCTAATCTGGAAGAACCGGGTTTGATTCCCCACTCCTCCACTTGCACCTGCTGGATGACCTTGGGCAAGCCATAGTTCTGATAAGAGCTGTTCTTGAAAAAGAGCAGTTTCTGTCAAGAGCTCTCTCAGCCCCACCTACCTCATAGGGTGACTGTTGTGGGGAGGGGAAGGGAAAGGAATTTGTCAGCCGCTCTGAAACACCTTTGGGTAGTAAAGGGCGGGGTATAAATCCAATCTCTTCTCCTCCTTCATCAAGCTTACCGCTGGGTGGCCTTAAGAATTTTCTGCAGTTGTAATAATCTACGGAGATGGGTTCCCTGAAAGAAAAAAGACAGATTTTAATTTCCAAACACCAAATATCGGCACGGAAGATGAGAACGGCCACCCCTGAGTCAGAGCAACAGTCTGTCCAGCACGGTGGTTTATCGAAAGCCGCAGTGGAGAATGCGAGCGGCGCCACCTGTTCCAAACTCGCTTCGGCCTCTCCCGATCAGCAGCGAGAGACCTTTCCGCCAAGCAGAAGAATCCCTTTTTTCATCTTTCCGCAGTCTCCTACTTTCTGATGGGGGCGGGGTGTGTGCCAGGAGAAGGCAGCAAGGAAGACATGCTTGCCTCTGAGAGCCCAACAGCCCTGGCATCTCTGTCGGCCAAGCAATGCCAGATTGCCCCTCGAAGCCTCCGTACCCCGATAACAGAGTGGAGAGCCCCTGGCACCTGTAAGCCCTGCCTTGCCGACACCAGAGGGGTGAGCACAGATGTGTATTGGGGGGGGGGATTACCTTACCAGGTTCCTCCCCAAACCTAGAGCCAAGCCCGTTGGCGGTAGAAGAAGGCAATGAGCCCAGGAGGGAGATGAAGTTGGAATCTGTCTTTCCCTGCTGTGAGAATTCTGCGGCTTTGGGACCAGGAAAACACACCGCTGGTGTCTAGCCAGGAAGGGGAGGCAGGGGGAAAGCTGTCTCAAGGCACTGGCCCAGAGCCAACCGCTACTGCGGAGTGGACTTACACGTACGCATCCTCCTGATCTGTCTGGGTTTCTGAAAGGACAAGCAGTTTGCTGTTAGTTCCCAAATAAATGCAGGGTAAGCTGAACATTACCGAGGTGCCCACCCGGAGCCTCCCCCATGAGACCTTTTCCTAACCTAACACACAGCTGCTGGGGTAGGGCAGTGGCTGAAAGCGGAGCTACCGATCAGGAGGCTGCTGGTTCAAATCAGGCTTCTGCCGTGAACTCACTCGGGGGCCTCAGCCCTCAGAGTCCACAATACCAGGCAGGAT